CTGATAAAGAAGGCAAGGAACAGTCACACAGGCCCTGCATTGAATATAGAGTACCATTTATTTTTATAAAAGCATTGCTACCTATCTCCCCGTAGAGATGTATAGATAGCTACACGTGCTGTTTACCTAGTAGCAATAACAGTTATTTATGGATAGACTGATTTTGAGTGATTCTGGCAACTTCATATTTTTCTGCACTGAGAATTTTTTTAGGTTGGATTTTTAAAAATTTTCATCCACATTTTGATGAGCCAAACCATCAATGAACATTGGTTTAAAACTATGGTAAATTTAGGCAGAGTTCTAGAATTATGTGTTTTCCAGTATTCTCACCATGTAATAATATGTCAGTTTTTGCAACTGATAAGCTTTTTTTTTTAATGTTTGTTTATTTATTTAGAGTGGGAGAGAGAGTGTGTGCACGAGCAGGGGAGGGGCAGAGAGAGAGAGGAGGAGAGAGAGAATCTCAAGCAGGCTCTGCACTGCCAGCACAGAGCCCCAAGCAGGGCTCGAATCCATGAACCATGAGATCATGAGCTGAGCTGAAACCAAGAGTCAGAGACTTGACTGAGCCACCCAGGCATCTCAACTGATAAGCTTTCAGATTCTACTCAGGTGAGAAGCCTAAATTAAATCTGAGGCCAGTTAAGTATGCATTGTATTTTTGTAACAGCATTTCCCCCATCTCACTGGCAAATATTTTTGTATATCCCAAAGAGTTAACATGGTCACAATGCTATTATCACATTGTCTCTTCCAAAAGTCAGTGTCATTGGGGGGAAATGTGTAGGAGGGCTTTTCAGATTAATAAGACTAAAGAGCTGAACCAACTAAATGCAATGCTTAAAGCTTCATTTGATCCAGTGGAACTAGAATGTATTATGCTAAGCAAAATAAGTCAGAGAAAGACATATCATATGATTTCAATCATATGTGGAATTTAAGAAAAAAAACAGATGAACAAGGGGAAGAGAAGGAAAAATGAGACAAAAACAGAGAGGGAAGCAAACCATAAAACTCTTAATACAGAGAACCAACTGAGGGTTGCTAGAGGGGAGGTGGGTAGAGCGATTAAATAGGTGATGGGCATTAAGGAAGACACTTGTGATGAGCACTGGGTGTTCTATGTAAGTGATGAATCACTAATTCTACTCCTGAAGCCATTATTACACTATATGTTAACTAACTGGGATTTAAATTTAAAAAAATATTTTTTAAAAATCTTCATTTGATCCAAATTCAGAGGGGAACAGGTATAAAAGATATTGGGGAAATTTCAATATGACTTGGCTGAAAGATGACATAAGGGAATTATTTTCTTAAGTGTAATAATGATGTTTTGGTTAGGAGATGTATGCTGACAGGGATAGGATACCATGATGTCCACAAGTTACTTTGAAAAGAAGTATGTAGCTAGGTAGGCATGTAGACGTATAGATATGGCAAATGTGGTAATTAATGAATCTAAGTGATATACTGTTGTGTTCTTTCAACTTTTCTGGTGTTTAAAATATTATATAATGAAAAGTTAGAAAAAAATGAGACAGACTCATTTGCAATAAAAACAAATGTAAGCAATAAAAGCAATTAAAATAATATCTGGTGTTAGGGACTGAATGTTTGTATTCCCCACCCCAGATTCAAATGTTGAAGCTCTAACCCCCCAGTGTGTTGGTGTTTGGAGGTAAAGCCTTTGGGAGGTAATCAGGATTAGATGAGGTCATGAGAGTGGGGCCCTTATGATGGGATCAGTATCTTTACAAGAAGAATCCCCAGAGAGTGTGTTCCTTCCCTCGTCACACACATACACCAGTGAAAGGCGACGTGAGCCCACAGTGAGAGGGAAGCCAGGAAGAGGGCTCTCACCAGGGCCTGACCATGCTGGCATGCTGATCTCAGACTTCCAGAACAGTGAGGAAATAAATTTCTGTTGTTTAAGCCAGCCAGTCTGCCGTGTTTTGTTACGGCAGCCCCAGCTGACGAGTGTGGATTTAGGTATCAGGACGTGGGTGCTGCTATAACAGATACCTAAACGTGCGGAAGTGGCTTTGGCAGCTTTAGAAGAACTTGGAAGTGCACAGTAGACACATGGACGCTAAGGGCAGTTCTGGTGAGGTCGCAGACAAATGAACATGTTATTGGAGGAATATGTTTACAGGAGAAAAGGCAATCCGTTGTAAAGTGACAGTTTGGCTACACTGTGGTTGGGTGTTTTGTAGAAGGTGGAACTTGCAAGTGATGAGACCGGGTAGTTAGCTCAGGAGATCCCCAAGCAGCTATGAAAGGAGCAGCTTGCTTCTTCCTGACTGCTCCTAGTGACGTGCAAAATGAGAGAGATGGAATCGTTAGGCAAAAGGGAACCGGAAAAGGAAGACTTGGGAAGCTCTCAGCCTGTCCGTGTTGCGTAAAATGAGAACTGGTTTTGAAGTGATCACTAAAGGTGCGGCTGAACAGCCGTTAGATACAGATCATCGGTAGAACAGTTTATGGACTTAGCCATCTCAACGAAGCCACACGTAGAGGTGGGATTGTACCAGCCGAGGCTCTGCTGGCATAAGCGGAAGGGAAGGTAGAAGACAAGATGGAATGAGGGGTGGCTGTCGGGCTTCTTGGATTTACAGCACGAGACCATGGAGCCATTTGGCCGTGGATGTGTGTGCTGTCCTTCAAGAACAGGGAAGAAGGACCGCACAGGGGATTTCAGAGATCATTAAGGCTGCTACTCCACAGGCGAGGCCTCGTTTTCAAAGGGCGGGACCGCCCAGCAGTGCTGCATGGACAGTGCCATCATGGAGAGCCACGTGGGCAGGGCTGCTCCGTGGCGGGGGGGGGGGGGGCGGTGATACGGTGACACTGCCACCTCAGTGGACCTGGAGGGCGGGCAGAGCATTGAGCCAAAGTCGATTATTCTCCAGCTTTAAGAGCTAATGGAGTTTGCCTGGCTAAGTTTTGGGCTTGCTTGAGACCCATCACCCCTTCCTTCTTTCCTGTTTCTCCCTCTGGAAATGGGACTGTCTGTCCTCTGCCCGTCCCCCATTGTGTTTTGGAAGCGCGTGACTTGTCTGGTTTCCCATGTTCACAGCCAGAGAGGAATTTCACCTCAGGATGAATCCTATCTAGAGTCTCATGCCTACCTGATCTAGATGATATTTGGATGCAACTCTGGGCTTTAGACTTCAGAGCTGACAGAATGAGACAGGACTTGAGAGTTGTTGGGATGGAATAAATATATTTTGCATGTGACAAGGATGTGGATTTTGGTGGTCCAGTGGCAGAATGTTATGGACTGAATATCTGTGCCCTCTCCAAAGTCATACTGAACTCCTATCCTCCAGTGCGATGGAGGTGGGGCCTTTGAAGGGTAGTTAGGATTAGACTGAGGTCCTAAGGGTAGGGCCCTAGTGATGGGATTAGTAACCTTATATGAAGAGACAACAGAGAACTTGCTCTCTTTCTCTCCTGGTACACGCACTCAGGAAAGGCTCTGTGAGCCGGAAAGAGAGCTCTCACCGGAACCCAACCAACCTGCACCCAGTTCTCGGACCTCTAGCATCCAGAACTGTGAGGAAATGAATCCTGCTGTGTAAGCCATAGTGTTTTATCATGGCAGCCCCAGCTGACGAAGACATCTGGGAATGACCTAACTTTTCCGAGTTACACAGAAAAGCCCTGACGGCACCATGAGGTCCGCTCCACAGAAAAAGTCCTCATCGGACTTCTCACTGAGATGCTAGAGAGTGATACACTCTTCCCTTGTCAGGAATAAAGACACCAGGTTGTCAGCGTCTGAGCTTTCTGATTTGATGTGTGGGGAGGGAGACTATCCACCCTTCTTCACCCTACTTTAGTTGTCCCACTTGCTGCGAATATTTGCTTCTCTCTCATGATGAAAGGCAATAAAAACGATGGCTTGGTCTGCCTGCATCGTGGACACCAGAGGAATTTAGGACCCAGAAGAATGAATCCTGTCTGCCCAGTGGCCCATGCGGGACGTTTCTTTGGCCCCTTCTTAATGCCTCAAGGGACAACGGAGCTACTTCCTTGGAACGTGTTAGTACCTAACGAAGTACTACGTACCTAAGTCTTCAGCCACCTCCTAGGTGCTACCCCACACCATCAACATCACCTCCCAGTATATACACACATTGTACTGGAATCTCTCGTTAATAGAATTTACTCGGTGTTTGGCTCAGTTGTTAAGGGCTTGGACTCGGGAATTGTAGCTCTGCCATTTACCTCCTGAGAGGCAACTCTCAAGTTTTCCTGGTCTCAGTTTCTGTATTTTGCAAAATGGGAATAGTTGTTCCCTCCTCTTAGTTTTGTTTTGGAGATTAAATGAGCCGATGAATTTAAATAGATGAGCATCACCTCTAACACCATGCCTAACAAATAATAGAAAACTTACCGAGTGTTTGGGCCTCCCGGGTGGCTCGGTTAAGCGGCTGACTCTTGATCTCAGCTCAGGTCTTGATCTCAGGATTGTGAGTTCAAGCCTGCATTGGGCTCTGCACCGGATGTGGAGCCCTACATTCAAAACACAAAAAACAAAAACAAAACAAAACTTGGTGTTAGCCCCCTTCATCTTCATCACTACCTTTGCCAGGTAGATAAAAATCCTAGACTCTAAGCTGTTTGGGAGATGATGTCCACTAGGTGGCACCAACCACAGGTAAATAAAATCTCCCACATAACACTATTTCGTAAGTTCGGAAGTCCCATGAGGAGACCAATAAAACTGTAGTGGTGATAAGGCAATGTACATATATAGATGTAAATGCAGTTTGGCCCCCAAACTAAGTGTTTGACTCACAATAATGTCCTGAAGCAATTGTCTAAAACCCGTACAAGTCAAATCGTTTTGGTTTGATTCCCTGACCGCAGGAGATTCTGATGCTGGGGATCAGCAGAGAAACTTTGAAAAACCCTCCTATTCTGTTTCCAGGTACAGCGGAGTGACGCTTGGTCAGGTTTAGGTAACAACTGGGGCTTTTGTTTTGCAGACCTCTGTTCCTCCAGCTCTTGTTCTGCTGAGGTGACATGATCGGAGGACCCTGCGGAAGGCCAGAGACTGCGCTGTGGGAGGGACCTTCTGCAAGGACAGAGAAGGGAGACGACAGAAATGACATGGGGACAGAAACTTGGTTGGAAGTACGGAAGTGTTCAAATGGGGCTTTAGCAGATTTTTCTGTGTGATAAGGAATATCAGTAGTGCTTTTGCAATGAGATCTGCTTTTCTGACATCTGAGAAAATGACATCAAGGTACAGCAAGAACAAAATGGCCTGGACATTTGAGTTACAACACTTTTTTACTTTCTTGTCATTCTTTTCTGTTATCCCCAAGCCTTCAAATAAAATGTTTCAGATTTCTTAGCTATATTTTGGGGAAAAAGGGAGAGGTTTGTGTCCATCTTCGGAATTTTTAGCCCAGTTGGAACTGAGCTACAGAAGTAGGGTGCTAAGAGATTGTGAGATGTGAGGGCACTCCATGAGGATCCTCACCTGTACTCAGAGACAGCAGATAAAAGCCTGGAATCCCTACAGTTCCACGGGATGCAAGAGTTTGTCATTTGGGTATCAAAGAGCAGGACAATCCCAGACAACTGGCCATGGTAATACACTAGGCCGGTGGAAAACCTCGGGGCTGCAGGCGGATCCAGAACAGGGAGGAGTTGACAGATGGCGCATAAGTGGGCAGAAGCGAAGAGGGTCTGTAAACAAATGCGGAACCAAATTAAATTGGGGAAGAGGGCAAGTTGAAAAGAGCAGTTTGGAAAGGTCACGCTTCAGCTCTTTGCGTTTGGAAAGATGATAGAGGCCACTGGCGGGCCCCCAACCCATCCTTCGTTTCTGTCTCAGGGGAAAGGGAATTCCTGGTTCTATACACGCCAGATCTCCTCTCGTCCACACACCATCAGCGGTCGTTTCTAAGCCCCCTCAGTTCTTTCTTTGCTGGCTCTGTTCTCTACACATACAAAAGATGTTAAAGTCTCTACCTTTTAAAAAAAAATTTTTTTTAACGTTTATTTTTTGAGACAGAGAGAGACACAGCATGAATGGGGAGGGTCAGAGAGAGAGGGAGACAGGATCCGAAACAGGCTCCAGGCTCTGAGCTGTCAGCACAGAGCCCGACGCGGGGCTCGAAGCCACGGACCGCGAGATCACGACCTGAGCCGAAGTCGGACGCTTAACCGACTGAGCCACCCAGGCGCCCCATTAAAGTCTCTACCTTTTAAAACAAAACAAAAACTCTTGTCATTTTGCACCTCCTAGTTTACCGTCTTGTTTTCTTCCCTTTGCTGCCAGCCTCTAGAAAGAGCAGTCTCCCCGGTTCCACTTACTGTTCCTTCCCTGCACTGTGGCCATTTCGCCAACACCTGACTGCAAATGCTCCCTCTGAGATTACCAGTGAACTTCATGTCAAAATCACCGGGGAGTTTTCAGCCTTCAGCCTGAATCGAACTAAGCTATCCACAGTATTTGCAACTTTGTTTATTTATTGTATAAATAATGAAATAATATATGTTATATAATTATACATATAGCATAAATAAAATAATTTATGTAAGATTGTGTAAATACAACAGTAATTATTGAGCACCTACTATGTGTTTGGCACCATTCTAGGCCCTGTGATGTATAGATAGACGAGGTCCTGTCTCAAGGGGGTACCCAGGTTGTAACATCATAGTTGTCTGTCCGGGGCCATGTCAAGGGGGATGGTGAGCCCATGACTTTGAGGTGCCAAACTTTGACTAACTCCTCTGCTTGCTTCACAATCTGAATTTCAGACTGCTTGCTCAAATGTTATTTTCATCATAGCGACAACTCTCTTACCAACACACTATCCTACAATTGGTGAAAATGTGATACTTTGGAAGGAAATAACCACCACTTACGCTTGCCAATCCACATCCCTTCCCCCAGCTAAGCTTTCCCATATCTTCCAGTAGCTTGCTTTGTGTTGGGGCTGGGGACTCACAGTATACATTATACATCTAATTAATAATTAGAATTGTAAATGCTATAGCATTGCTTGGCCTTTTCTAAGATCAAGTGTTGAATTGTAAATGCTGCAAAGGAAACAGCAGGGCAGTGTGACGTGAGGCGCTGCTATAATCTGAATGTTCACGTCCCCCCCCAAATTCACATGTTGAAATCCTAACCCCCAAGGTGACGGTGTTAGGAGATGGGACCTTTGGGAGGCGACAAGGTCTGAGGGCAGAGCCCTCACGAATGGGAGTAGTGCCCTTAATCCAAGACCCCACAAAGATCCCTTGCCCCCGTCCACCATGTAAACACACAATGAAAAGCCACTAGAGCACGTTAAGTGCTAACAGCTCTAATTCAACGGAGAGACAGGAGTGGAGACACGGAAGGGGCAGGGATCCATCGCCCTGGTCGGAGGAGTTTGCTCTGACAAGTTCAGAAGAAAGACACGTACCCTTTCAAGCTCTTCCCCTTAGGTGTAAGAACATCACTCTTGATTCTTCCCTTCTTCTGCGGTTGTGTCTTGTCTCCTTTTCAGAGCCCTCTTTAATTTTGGTCGGCGGCAGGGTTCTGTCCACAACTGTCTGAATTGTCCTCTGCATCCTCCTTAGATCACCTTCTCCCCAACCACACCAGCCTAGACCCCTGTCCTGGACTTCCCACTCTCAGACCCAAATATACATAGATATTTTTTAAATCTCCCAAACTCTTTTTCGTTTGTTTATTTTTGTTTCTTTTGAGAGGGAGATACAGAGCAAGCAGGGAGGGGCAGAGAGAGAGAGGGAGACAGAATCCCAAGCAGGCTCTGCCCCGTTAGCACAGAGCCGACGCGGGGCTCAAACTCATGAACCATGAGATCATGACCTGAGCAGGAACCAAGAGCCAGACATCCCACTGAGTGAGCCACCCAGGCGCCCCAAAATCTCCCCAAATTCCATCCCTAGCCCAGATCTGTCCTCTGACATTTTCTTTTAGCTGCTCATTTGACACCCACTTGGATAGAGGCATCTTGAATTTAATGTGTCCAATATTGGAATTTTTCAGTCATCCCTACACACACACACACACACACACACACACACACACACACACACAACACAGCACTGACAGGGAGGGAGGGGGAACGTGCTCATTGATGGACCATGTTTCAACTCTCTTCATAACCTGTACCCCATTCCTTTTTTTTAAAGTAATGTCTACACCCCCAATAGGGCTCAAACTCATGACCCCGAGATCAAGACTCATATGCTCTACCAACTGAGCCAGCCAGGAGCCCCCTTTTTTTATGTACCCCATTCTTTGATACAAACTTTGGAAGTTTTTTCATTCTTTTTTTTAATTTTTTAATGTTTACTTATTTTTGACAGAGAGAGAGAGAGAGAGAGAGACAGCATGAGCGGGGGAGGGGCAGAGAGAGAGAGGGAGTTGCAGAATCCGAAACAGGCTCCAGGCTCTGAGCTGTCAGCACAGAGCCCAGCACGGGGCTCGAACTCACAGAGTGCAAGATCACGACCTAAGCTGAGGTCAGACGCTCAAGCAACTGAGCCACCCAGGTGCCCCAGAAGTTTTTCATTCTTATGTAAAGTATCATAGTGACAGCACTAGTGCTTTACTAATAAGTGTATTTCTAGCTCTCCTTGCTTTCCTAGACATTCGGGAGAATTATGTTTATCCATCTCTTTGAAGGGAGACTGGGTGATGGCAGTTACTCTGGCCACCGGAATATGAGGGGAAATTACACATCTCGCATGTGGGTGGAAATATTTAGGAACAATTTCTCTTTGCTGTTTTTCTTTTTCTTTTTCTTTTTCTTTTTTTTTCCCCCCCTTTCTTTGTCCCAAAGTTATCATGTGTTGAGATACAGATCCCTAAGATCAAAGCAGCCTGGAATGCTGAGCCATCACGTGCAGGAAAATTGCCCAGAGAGTCATTTGGACCTGTAGCAAACTTTGAGCAAGGAAGAAAGCAAAAACGAAAACAAAAAAATCTCTGTTATATAAGTCACCGAGTTTTTTTGCTATTTTTAGTTCTGAGGTGTGTGCAGGTTGTGTGTGTTGTTTAGGTTACGGCTGGATAATCGAACCTATCCTGATGATATAGAGGCTATGCAAATGCATGTTGCAGACAAATCTCTTCCAGCCCCTGCTTCCAATTCGCTAACCACCCCTAAGCCTCTCCTAATAGAAATTCTGCAACTGTCCGTGCCCCCAAACTGTCCCTCTTCACCTCTCTCCAATATCATTTATCATCACCATCCACTTAGTTGCAGGGATTATCTTAATGCCTCCCCCTTCTTCACTCCCACAGTCTGATCACCGAGTTTCTTGAAGTGTGTCTGAAATTTGTTCTGGACATCTGGAGTAGCCTTCCTGTTCCTACTCCTGGTCTTGGGATATATGTGATACTGTCAAACTCAGAAGTTAATAAAAGGTCCGCAGTAAAACTGCCTCACACCCTTGTCCCTCAGTCACCTAGTTTCTCTGCCTATCAGTAACCCGAATGACCAGATCCTTGTGGATCCCTTCAGATACAGCTGCACATAGAAACAAGTCAATATATCTCTCAGAGTAATCTTCCGGAAACACAAAACTGACCATCCCCCAGTTTAAAACCTTTAAGTGCTTTCCCATTACAGCTTCTTGAAGGCTTAGGACCCTACATTAGCAGTCCCCTCAGTCCTGCTGACCTCCTCTCAATTCCAGACAACCATCTTCTCTGTTGAAATCATTCCCGCCTCTGGACTCTTAGGCTGTTCCCTCTGCTGGGACAGTTTCCCCACAGATCCACACGCGCTCATTCTTTCCTTACACGTTACTCCTCAGAGAGTGCACAGCCTTCCCACCCCTGTTCTTCATCGCAGAAGTCCCTCCATTTGTTGCCTCCAAGCTTCTACCGCAAGTAGTCACCATATATTTGACACCATATGTTTACTTGTGTATTGACCCTCTCTCAATTTAGAGTCTAAGTTCCATGAGGGGAGAAATTGTGTCTGTTCTGTTTGGTTCACCATCACTATCTACCCAGCTTCTAGTTCTGTGGACGTCACAACATAGGTGCACAATAAACACTTGATGAATGCGTGAATGAACGCGTGAATGGATGAATAAGGAACTAATGGGAAGACTAGTGTCCTGATAAAAAGGCAAATGAAACCAAAAACAGAAACTACCCTCAACTACTTAAGTAGGCAGATTTGGTCTCCGTCTTGTTTCTTCCCCGACTATAGACTTTAGATTTTTATCCTGAGCTTCCTCACTGTGCGGTTGGCCGTGTCGCTGGTTAGGCCAGACTCCCAATACGGAAAAGAGAAAGGTAAGGGAGAGAAGAGCAAAAAAACATCACTCCCAAAGGGTCAGAGCCTCGAGCTTTCTGGGAAGAAGTGGCAGCAG